TATCAAAACTTGGGCTCGTGTGCACTAGACAAGCATTTTCCATTAATCTATGCACTCTCAGGCTTTAAAATTCATAAGATTTATGAAGTTTGAAAAACAGGTGTGAAAACTACTATGTTAGGTTAAATTGCTGTGTGATAAAATGTGTTTCTTGTATGTTTTGAAAGAAAATACAAATGAAAAGCAGAACAATGTCATTCATACAATGTTCTGTGTTCAACTCATCCAAATATCGAGCTTGAAATCCCTGGCATCTCACATGAGAGAAGTGTGTTTGGAACCAGCCACAGGAAAGAGGTGGTTCAAGATGGGGTGGCTGTCAGCCAGGCTTACTGGTGCCCCATAAGACAGGGTGTCAGTACACATGGAGAGAGACCAGGAAGCAAATATACACACAAACACACACACACAAAGGCACAACTGCAGATGGCCATGGTGTGAGGCACTAGGATGGGGCCGGCACAGCCAAGGACCTAAAGCACAGCAGCCATAATGCAGCCCAAACTCTGGTCCTGGGCATCTGGTTCCAGATCTTGAGAAATCGCATTACTGTTGTGTTATCTGCACAGTCTGTGCTGTTTCATTCTGGCAGCTGAACTGATAGATACAGATTTCAATGCAAACTGAAATATTTAGTGATGAGTTTATCAAAATATGGAAACTATAAAACATTGCTGAGACAATTTCTTGAAAATTTAAAGATGGACAAATCTGCCATCTTTATCGCTCCATAGGTGCAGCACTGATGGAGAAAATTCTACATTGACCTGGGTCGGTTCCACTTAAGTCCCTCGAGGTTTGTAGGAAACCTGTAAACTGCTGGTGAGGTTCCTGTGGTAATGGTGTGTGGGTCTATAACAAGGCTTGTATGAAACACTGGAAGGGTGCCAGGCAAAGAGGGGCAGGAAAGTGCACAGCATCAACACCATGAGAAATGTGAGGTTTCCATAAAAAGTTTCTAGAAACATGCAGCATGGAGAGTGGGTGATACACTGTGTCTGGAGAGCAATAACTTGAAGCAAAATCATGAGTATTGAGTGGGGTTTTGTGGATCCCTTACTAAAATAGAAGAACATTATAGCACCAGGCTCTGAAAATAAACCCCACCTTATTCCACAGCCTGAGAAGCCCGTGCTGAGTGTGCTCTGGGTATAGCTTCCACCCAAGTGAAGCCATGATTTTTAGGGGATTCCTGAGGGCTTTGTCCACACCCTGAAGGAATCCGAGGAAGTTGGGCCTGTGTTGCTCAGGAAAACCCATACACAGGCATCTGAGGCACAGTGCAATCAGGAAGCCAAGATTGAAAGCCAGGGGAGAGTCACATGCCCAGGGGAAGTGTGATGACCTAGGGCTTCGACTAAATCAATTTAGAGACCCCAAGTTACAGTGCTGTCTATAGTGTCCTTCAAGTGAAACTGAGCTGAGATCGCTACTCTCAAAGGTCATGTGGATGCAGCCTTTAAGGTCCTACATCTTTAAGAGGATGTGCATGCTAGTCCCAGCCATGTTAAACACAGAGAGAGAGGGCTGCAACAGCTTGATCTTAGTGAGCCCCAGAGCTCCCCGCTGGGACTCACTGAAGGAAAGAGCACAAGAGCAACCTACAGCCCTCAGTGTTGTCCTGGTCTCCAGGCTCTTGGATACCAGGAAGCTCAGTGTATATTTGCAGTGTGGCCTCATGGGAGAAGCCCATGCAAGGAGAGTTTGTGAGTGCTTAAAAGACCCACCTCTTCTGGACAAAGAGCCACCAGAGACACAGGGCAGGAGCCACACTTCTCTTCACTCTCCCTGAAAATCTGTAATTTACTCCTCAGAAAATTGCTTCACTGCCATACCTGGTTTCTGTGAGGTCAGTGAAGAGTCTTCCTCCTGGACATGCTCTGTCCATTCTCACTCACTCTCTTGGCTGTCTGTGGTCGGGGTTGGCAGGGAAATTAAAATGTTCTGCTTATACTCTGTGCTGAAGGAAAAAGTGACTCTTTTCCTACAAAGTTTTTTTTTTCCCTTCTGCAGTATTTTTCTTCCTCACTACATCATTCTCCCAAAGTTATGTGTGTCTCTCTCTGTCCCTCTGTCTCCTCTCTTCCCCCTTCTTTTCCCATCCTGTCTCTTTATCCCCACACCCTCACCCTTCTCACACCTGTCAGTCCCTTTGATTTATTAAACGGTCAGCTCACTGCTACAGGAACCTGCTAGGAAGGTATCTGCCCCTCATAACACTAGTGCTGTGTTTCTCTGGCATTGGGGTGGCACAAGGAAAGAGCATCCTTAATGCTCAGCATCCCTGATCTCATCTGACACAGCTGCTGACCCTGCTCTGTACTAACGTTTGTCCCCTGAAAACTCACTGTGTAGTACAATAAAAGATGAGATTGCTTCAAGCCAAGAACAAAAGCACAGGACACTTTTAATGTGGAACTGTCTATACTAACCTCTGTAATACATGTGTCATGTGATTTTGAATACCATAGTCCCTTTCCTTATCTTTCAGCTTTTTCCTGACCCTTATTTCTGTTGTTGAAGGAATTGTCAGGTGGAACAAACAGAGGTTACAGAATCGAAGTGAAATAGCAAATTTACTCACCAGCAAGGGTCAATCTAAGCACTGCTTATGTGCAATCGACCCTCATTGGTGAGTAAATTCATTATTTTACTTCCATTGTGCTGCCTCTCTGTGTTTTACTTGCCAATTCCTTCCACAACATTTCCCCTTTGTATCAAGAATATTTTGCTAAAGGCTTTGGCAGAACTTCAGCAAATCCATGTATTGTAATCATATACATCTTTAGAGTGTTAGAAGTGAAATTCATCCTCAGAAAACCAGTAGGCATTATAAAATTTTATGTGCTCATCCACTATAGCTAGA